CCAGCACGGTGTTTTCTAAGGCTGCAGAACTGATTAGTTATGGGTAGAGTATGCCAGGATGAGGATGCTCCCAGTTTGAGAGAAAGAAAAATGATGATCGAAATTGACTTGACTGTACAACTACATCCTTGCAGCCAGTACAAGGATTTCATTTCCCTGCCACCCATGCAATTTTTTGGTTACTGTTTAAATCAAAGCCTGTTCCTTTCTCCTTGGCCATTAATGTTTGGACAAAAGTGGATTTAACTTTCTTAATAAAATTGCTTAGGAACATTTCTTAATCATGTTAGAAATGAAGGAAAATAGACCACTAGATGGCCTTTTCAGATTAATTATCTACAGCAGTTCTCATTAAGCCCCAGTCTGTGTGTACCGTCATAATAATGTTGACATAAATAAAATAAAGTTATAGGTTTGGTGAAACCTACCTGAAATGGGTTGGTTTATCTGCCATCCTTCATGTAAAATAGCTGTAAGGAACAGTTAAGCCCATTCCCCCCAGAGCAAAAGCAAATACGACATTCCTCCAGAATCAACTGATTTAGGAAGAGGTCTGCTGAGCATTGATTTAGGGATACAGTGTGTAGAGAGAGAACAGCAGCTCAGGTAGAGCAGCAGAAAACTGAAACCAGAAGAGAGAGGAGCTTTGAACCATCTGAATCTACGCAGTCCTTGTACATTCTTGCAAGATATTAGCATCGCTTCCTAAGTATAATAATTTAGGAGGACAGTGGGCACGTGTACAGCTGCATTACTGTAGATTAAGTTTAGTACCACTGGGCATTTGTACACATGCTTCTGCCACAGCGCTGGGCACTTTTGAGAGTGCCCAGTGCTGCAGCACATGAAGTTGTATAAGTAGTGAAATGAGCATCAGTGCTGAGAAAATGGCAGGGGCATGCTTTTGAACTAAAACACATCAGAGGTGTTTTAGTTCAAGAGCACACCACTGCTATATTCCGCACACTAAGTTGCATTTTACTGCTTATACAACTGCGTGCAAAGCAGCGCAGTGTGTCAGCTCATGTGTGGAGCAGACTTGATTAATCGAATCTGCTCTGACCCACCAAATCTCCAGCACGTCACGGAACAAATAGGTATGTGTATAAGTGCCTTGTAATAACACGTACTAACTTAATGAGCTGTAATCGGTACCAGGATGTCTTTTAGGTGATGCTAATGCTCAGTAACTTAATTCTACTGCACGTTAGTGCATTAAACATGGCTTTTGCTGTGATGCGCTAATGCACAGTACAATTGGTCTACTGTACTTCTAGCACCTTGTATAGATAGATGCACCCAGTGACTGTTAGTTCCTCAGGTAAAGGGGGCAATGATAATAGCACTCTGCACTTGGAGAACTACACACCCAAGAGGACCTCAAAGCACGTTATAAAAAAAAAAAAAAAAAAAAAAAAAGAGATTAGTCTCAGCCCCTCCCATAACCATCTCTATTTCACAAACAGAAACAGGCACAGAGAATGGTTTGATAATTTTCTCAGTTCCACAAGAAGTCCTTTGAAAATTGAACCCAGAAGTTGAGTGCCAGACTCCCACACTATTTATGCCTAGCTTGCAATAGTGTCACAAGTAGAGTAATGTTCATTTTTTAAACCAGGGACATCCTAGTCCAAATGGAATTACCTGGATTGAGCCGATTTGCACGCTTTTAAGCGGCACAGGAGATAAAGGACATTGTTGTTTTGGAGCACGTGCCTTGCATCCTTCTGCTGCACTTAGACTTGTACAGCCTTTACTTTCATTCTCTCCTCCCTATAGAGGAACACTGGGTGTCTTGAGGCTGGGTTTTGATTCATTTCCTCTTCTCTTCTTGGTTTTCCAGCATCACACCTGTGTTTGTACTGAACTATCATGGCTGTGAAGACAGTCCGTTTCCCCCGGCACTTCGTTGATCTACCTTATGAGAATTTGAAGTACACTGTAATCACTGCCCTTGAACGAACCTGTATCTGCTCACAAGTTACATTTGCAAACAAGCCTTTTAAAACAACGTGCATGTTGAAGGGCATTAAGGAACCACAACAATGGACAAATCCTAGGCAAGACAATAAACAGAGCAGGGCATACAAGGACAGCCCAAGCTAGTCTGGTAAACAGCCAGACAGAGAACTTGTGTTTGAAACTCAGAAGACACATTGGAAAGCAAAGCAGAGTATGCAAGTTCAGTACAAATTCCACTGCAACTACTGGAAAATACATTGTTTTTTTAATTGATTTATAATGAAAAAGTATAATACCAAATTAGTTTCCAAGAACAGGATAAATATTCCTCTTGCAGAGAAGCTTGTGAAATTTTAACATAGTGCAGATATAGTCCTTACTACAAAGGAATGGAAGCAGTATAGATCTTGGGGATTAAGCAATAGACTTTTCACTGCTAGCCCCTACATTCAGACTTGATCCATGTGTCTAATGACTAAAAACGATCAATGAATGAAGGCTATTCACAAGCTTAAACAAATTAGTTTTTCCCCAATTAAAAAAAAAAAAATCCACCTAACTCTTCCAATCTGGGTAAACTATGCCATTGCTCCCATTGTTTAAGGCAGTGGTTCTCAACCTTTTCAGACTTGAGAAACCCCTCAGACTCAAGGCACCCCTGAGAAAATGCCAGCTCTTAGGTTTTCACACATTTTTAACTACAAATTAATAATAGAGGATTTTTGTTGCAAAGAACTCAGAAAGAGCACAGCACATCAGAATACAAAACTATAAATTACTATTTGAAGTCTCTGGCTTTATCTTCCAACTCATGCCTGTACACTTAACACTGCTAACATTGCATGGCATACTTAAAAGGATCTCAAAGCACCCCACATTGCCACAGCATCCTGGTTATAAATCACAGGATTAAGGGGATAGATTCCCTGCTACTGTACCTCTCCCTTTTAGGAAATCTGGCTCATTAATATTAAATTCAAACCCCCAAAGATTCCCACCCAGTCATCCTCACTAACTGGTTTGGGTAACAAGACTTTCCTCTCTGCCAGACTGCATTTATCATCCTCCCTCTCAAGCCTACAACAAATCTAATAAAATTACCCTTTTAAACAAATACCCACCACAGCCTAGCTGTTTTTCTACCTCCCACAGGCCTGGTTCTTAGTCACATTCTCCACATTATGGGACCCCTGTACTCCTTATTCCCTTCACCTGGGGAACAGGGCAAATCCTTCCACGGGTAAGGCTGAAATCCAAATCTTCTAACCGGTCCCAACAGTCTACAGCACAAGCACCACGATCAGAATCATTACCTCTTTGTCAGGATCAGCAGAGAAACCAAAACCTCCAAAAGATTGATGCTTATGGGGAATTTCAGAAAGCTGAACCCCCTGCTGCCTATCCAGCAACATGACCTTTCCTGTGGGCAGGTGGCTAATTTGGGTTAGATTTTTCCACTGCCTTGAAACCTGCAGTCATTAACACCTGTTAATGGTGAATGCAGAGCATGTGAGAGCAAGATGACTGGTTGGGGAAATGTAGAGGAATAGGAGTAGACCCAATTATTTGATATGGATTAAGGCATGATGAAATTTTGCAGTTATTTGCATCTTTGGGATCCCCTACTATTGCACTGCTCAGAGCTGTCTCTGAAAACTACCTGTTCTGTCATTTAATTCATTCCAGTTGACAGCATTTGAGTTGAGCAGTCAGATGAACAGCATAATGTCAGGGGGACATGTGATAATGGTTTAGCTGGAATTTTATATGCCTTCTCTACTGCTTTGCAGAGTAGATTTAATAAAGCAAAAAAAAAAGAACCACTTATTCTATCATTGAGAGAAAAGAAGATCAAGTTGGAGGTTTGTTCTTTCTCTCTGACATAGCTTTTTGAACATATTCTCAGAAGATGGGATTGTGTTATGAAAAATGGATGTTGTTTGTTGGGTTTCTGAGAGATATCTGTGCTTGCAGGTACAGCTACATCCACCTTGGTATTTTGCGAACTTTATTCTGAGGGTGCTGCTCTCTATAAATACTGCTTCCGGATGATGACCCACCTAGCAAAGAGTAGGATAGCTGTAAAGATTAAAGCACTGACAGACAGTGCTCATGGATGTTGGCACAATAGATTCAGGAGAGGAGCACTTAAACCCAGCAGGAGGCAAAGTGATACAAAGGTCTGGCAGACTTGTATTGTCACATTTATCATGCTCTATGTTAAATGCTGAGAATAGAATTGCATTACAGCATTGCCACTAGGTTTCATGCAAAATAAAGGGATGCTTTTAAAGTCAAATATAACGAGTTTAAATCCTACATAGGGAAAGGGGAGGGTCTGATCTGAGAGAATCATACATCAGGGAGTACTGGAGTTGAGTAAAGAACAAGGACACCTGCTCTCACTACACTCGTGTTCTTCATTTTGAAATATTCTCCACTCCCTAGTCCTTTTGTTTCAGCTGATCCTGTATTTTATACAGCAAAATGCTGCTGGCAGCTGAAAATAGCAAGATAAAACTGTCTTATTCAATTGAGAAACTGTACAAGATGCTTCATTCTGGATACAACAACCCTGCTACTTTTCACTGGTCTATGCTGTGGATGTCTGCGTACTAGACATATTATACTGTGGCTTAATGTAGTGGTAGTTGGTGCTCAGCCACTAGAGTGGTGAGCCTGGTGTTAGTATAGAAGAGCTTATATTTCAAATGATTGTGTTTTAATAATTTTACCAAGACATTAGGCAGTATCACAAGGGCATATGAGAGGGTTTGAATGTTACAAAATGTCTCTCATCTTGATAGAAAATGACTATACGTGTTCATCAAAAATGAGCAGCACTTGTCTATGTCCATAGGAAAGGTAGCATTTCATGATCGTGTTCTCACTTCTCTGTTTCTGAAAGGGAATTAACATTTCTTTCCTTATGTGATAGACTATTATGTGCACTGTGCTGCCTCCTGGTCCTTCCTCACCATATGCCAATAAGGTTGAAAAGAGAAGCTCAAAAGGGAGTCTGGTTCTTACATTTGTCTGGATGCTAATGCTATACATGGACATGAAAGAGCAAGACCTGGAAGAACATGAAAACTGAAGAGCCACAGAACTTTGCTGTACCTGAAGCACATCATCCTCATTGGCATGGGAAGGAAATTAAAAGCAGATAATTGAATTCTGCCATGACTCTGAAATGCTAAAACCCCAGAATTTCTCATGCTCCGGATCCTGCTGTTTTTGGGACTTTCCAGCTTGGACAGATGCTTCTGGAGGAATGAGGCCTTCCTGTCTCACAGCCACTTCTTCCATTCGCTCTGGTTCCCAAAACCTCCCCTGAATCAGAATGGGTAAGATATTCAGAACTAGGCTTTCTATAGTTGCAGCGGTGTCAGACCTGGAGCACAAATTGACTTACCAAAGACTCACTAGAAGTAGAGTCCCATGCATCCCATAGTCTAGGGGTTTTCAACCTTTTTTAAAGAGTGTACCCCTTCTGGTTGCGGCAGCTGGACGCGGAGTGGTGGAGGGGTGGCAGCAGCTGGAAGCAGAGTGGATGTGGCGGGGTGGCAGCACCTAGATGCAGTATGGGAAGGGGGAGGGCTTGCAACGGACAGTATCAGTGCAGGGTGGTGGATGGCAGCATCAGGCACTCTGTGCAAGCTCCCTCCCCATGTCCCACCAGCCGGGTGGCACCTGTGTGGCCTGCAGAGGGGAACTGCTGCCCTCGGTCCCCCATTTCCTCCCTCCCCATCCTGCTCCTGGGAGGTGGTGGCGCAGGGTAGTGTGTCGCTGCACTCCATCCCTGCCTGCCCGCACATACCCCCTAGCATCTTTCCAAGTACCCCTGGTTGACAACCCCTGCCATAGTCAATTATGTCTGAACAACCTGGACTTAGAATTGGATCTTGCATAATATCTATTGGGTGCCACAAGATGGTGCGGCTACTGACCACAGATCCCTGGTAAAAATAACAAGCTCTTTCCCAAACCCTTTGTTTGTCCTGCATGGCTCTATTGTGCAAGTACATGGGGTGTATGTTTCAATCTGCCCTAGCATTTTTCTGAAGCTCAACATGAATTTCCAGCCTTTCACCTCTAGCATGTGCTATACAAAGAAACCATTGCTACCTGGCTTGATAAAGACAAGTCCAAGGAGCTTTAAAGGCTGTTTTCCCAGTGTGGATTAAATTAATGGAAAAATCTATCTGGAATAAGAAAAGCTAAACAATAGTAAGTAAACCTTGTTCCATATTTAGTAAATATAGCCAGGTATATACATAGCCTTTTTCTTCAGTTGATGGCTTATATACAAGTGTATAATAGCTCCGCTTCTGATGTGACAGTTATGGACGGCTATCTCTGAACTATCCAGGAGATGGCAGTCCATAACAAGGGGACTCAGAGAATCTGTTTCTACAGAACGGTACCCTCCGAAATATAATGTGCCATTTTCAGTTACTGGAAGATCTGGATTTCCAACTTATATGATAAGTGGTACTTTCTTTAAAGTCTTAGCTCTTGGAGGCACCTGACTGTATGAGAATTTGTTTTCTTTGCAAACAAGAATTTTCTGGCCCATGTGATTGCAAAGAAAATATGAGAACTTGACTCTAAAGACTATAGCACAAAAAAGAAAATTAAATAAATTCAACAACATCAAATCACAGAACTGAATTATCTCATTAATTTTAAGCCAGTCTCCTGACTGTCAAGACCTGACTCTCAATTTTTTAATGCTTAAGGTAGGTATCAGTATAGAGTCATATGCTATAGATTGATGGCTAGTGAGATGGTCCATTCCATTCTTCAAAGGTCAGTGTAGGATCATTGCTCCTATATTGTCTAGTGTTTTATCCAGTCCATCTTGAAGTGCTCCAGACAATGTGAAGTCTACCACTTGTCTTGGGAGGCTAAGCCAAAACTGAATAAATGAAACACTTCTGTTTTGCCTCGGAACAAAATTAAAAATCATCTCAAGGGAATAGAAAATTATGCAATCCTGGACAACACCCCATCACCCCCGAATGACTGTTGTACAGTTTACATGATGCTGAAAGTGTCTTTGTCATTAAGCTTAATGGTTTGGATACAGTGATGATATTTTCTTACAGCTCTGTTGCTGACTCTTCAAAAACTCAGAACTCAGATTGCATAATATCTATTGGGTGCCACAAGATGGTGCAGTGAGTTCTGGAGGGGCCTACAGTTTCTGTCTCTCATATATTTATCCCTTTTATTAAAATGCTAGTGCTTTCATGCATTTCATCCCTGTCATAAGAAAATAAGGAATTTTAAAGGGGAATTTTCCTTTCATTAATAGACTGTATTTCACCACAATAGGGATGGTTTATACTCTCTAACTCAAAGCCAAGAAACATTTAAACAACATAAAAATCACTCTGCTACCACATGGGTTTTGCTACAACATTCAGAAAGATGCAACTGCTGCTCACAGAAAAATGGAAGGGAGGTAAGAACCTCAGGAGCACTGATACCTTGAAGGATCAAGTTTCTAAAACTCTTTACAACAATTATTTAAAGCCTCACAATAACCTTGAGAGGTAAATATTATCCCTGCATCACAGGTAAGGACGCTCTGACAGAGGCAGCTTAAGTAGCACGGAATGGGTATAACAGGATAAGGAACAGAATCCAGACGTCCCGTCCCTTTGAACTGGACAGGACTTCATGCATCCCTATGGGTCTCTGTTCATGAAGGAGTAGAAGATAGCTTACATTTCTTCAATCTCCGTTATATGTAAATGTCAATGCAAACATATACTGAAAATCTTAAATGCAAATAGCCTATTGCCTACATGTAGGTAGTGGTGGTTTCATGGTGGTGTTTTTAATTTATCAATAAGCCATTTGTGTTTTTTGTCTCACTGTTGTCAAAGGGCATTGTTGCATGGGCAGGATAGCATTTTTATTCATCCCTGATAAAAAAACCTCTGGACTCTCAACATTTTCAAACCTGCCCTTACATTTGAAAATTAACTTCTTATAGATTTTGGCTATGTGACAGGCACACACAAGACTCATCACATCCCTGTTCACCTCCAGGACCAGGCAAGAAGGGCAGAATCCATCAGATACAGAAAGGGGTTGGCACAGAGGATCTTTATTTCCAATTATTCTGTTTATCAAGAGTAGTCACACTAGGTATATCTTCACTGTACCTTGGCATGACTGGAGGGAGGGAAGGATTCCTGGGCATACTTCTCATGTTGGAAGATGAGCACAGGTTTTTGGGGAAGAAATAATAGAGGTTCTAGAGAGCTGTCTGCCCAAGTGCATTGTTTATAATCCAATGTTGCACTGTTTCATTACGTGATATTTCAGGACCCTATTTGGACTGCAGAACACTTAAGTCAGTAAGTAGTTTGGAATCTCCCTTAATCCATTATTGACTTGCTCCAGACAGTAGTGGACAAGATGACAAAACTACATTTCTCTATGATGGTGCCACCCTGACCTCCCTCCTGTGATGGTGGTGAAAGGGAGTCATGGAGAAAGCAAGATACAGCCACAGGAAGTTTTCCCCTGTAATGCAGCATAAGAGTAGACCTGCTGAAGAGAGAGATGGAGCAAGACAACACACAATACACACATTCGATTTAAAAAACAACAAATTATCTACTTTGTCAAATACATTGAAAATACCTCATAAAGAATATCCTGCCTTCTGTACTAGCAGCTGGCATAACTAGCTGCACAAATTACAATTAATTATGGCCAGTGTATTGCAACTTATAATTATTTCCCTCTTCTCTAGCAGCTTCCAGCTAAGGCATTCAAAAAACTTTTTAACCATTGCTGAATTAGTCTTCACAACATCCCTGTGAGGTAGGTAAGTGTTATCCCCATTTTACAGATGAGGACATGGAGGGAAGGAGAGTTCTAGTGAATATACAAGCTGTATGGGAAGCCTACAAAAGAGCCCTGATCTCCTTGCTCTCAGCCCTGTGCTTCAACCACAATACCAGCTTCACTCTCTTTTTACAGAGATTTGCTCAGGAACCAACATCTCCCTTTTCTTTTCTCTGCTTCTCTTATGCTGTACAACTTGTTTCAAAATAGGAGGGAAGTGAGGAGCAGCCTAACTTGAAGAAAAGAGATTTGAGAGAACAATTTGCTCGTATCACTTCTACACAAATTGCATCGGCTATTTGGAATAGGGTTGGACATTGTTGGTGACTAACTGGAATGCACAGATGTCTGTTGCAGCTAACATCAGCACCATTTACATTAGTAGAGGCAAAACATGTCCCTTGAGATTTTTGCCAGCAAAGTGGCAGAAATTCAGATCCTATTTATATTTGGCTCATTTAGGGTACCTGTATTCTGAGGAGGTAAAAGTGCTCAGTGTTGAAGCGTCTCAGTGATTTGGAGTCCTTATCTCTAGAATGCAGCCACATCTAGGGGCTGATTCGCACCCCAGGTCTAGTCAGGTGCAACTCCACTGAAGTCAATTAATTATACTAAGGTGAGCCCCCAGAGTGGAATGGAGCATCTGCTTCACAATGCACCCCACCACCACATACTTCAGGGCAAGAAATGAAGGAAACCACATTTCAGGGGAATGCACTTCCCCGAGGTAGAATTTGAACAGGCCATAGGATTACCATCCTATATGCTACAAAAATTGCTACAAATTTGCCTGACTTGATAAGGAAACTCCTTCTGACGGAATTAAACATAGGGCACTAGGTATGTCCCCATGGTCCGAGGGCTTTGGAAAAATGCTTGATGCAGTGATCTGCAGTGAAATGGTTTGCTCATGGGGTGCTGAGTACATTTATAACACGACATAAGCTAACAACATAATAACATCCAAATATTTAGGAGTCGTGAAATTCATGTCCACCTGAAATGAATGGAGAAAATGACATAATTCGTACTGCTACTGGTTTAGTCTTTCTGCTCACAGATGTGAAAAGGCGATAGTAGTCAATGAAAATATGATCAGGGAATTTTCAGAATGAGAGTAATTGGACAAATAGGACAGATTCCAAAGGAAATCAGTGGAAGGCAGAAGCATCTGATTTCCTTGTCATTACAGCACATGACTGTTACTGAACTTTTCCTATCATAGCTTAGTGGCTTTTCTACAGTCGTTGATAACAGCTCTATTATTAAAAGTTTTGCCCATCACAAGCAATTTCTCATTCTAAAATACTCAGTTAAAAACATAAAATTGCATTTAATAATTCTGTAGAATTTCAGCACACCATTCTTCTGGAGAGCACCTGGGATTACTAAAATATCCCAGTTTCTTAAAAATGTCCTTTCATTAGTAAACAAGATCCCATGATATTTTTTAAAAGAATAAATCTGGCCCATGTAAAGTGTTAAACCAAGAGGTACTGATTTGTTTTTCTGCACTAAAACGTGAGGTGGCCAGGGAATGATACAGTAATATCTGAAGACCACAGGTCTTTTCTGGTTTTTTGAACATGGAAGCACTTGGATTGCTGAGGCTCAATATTAATTTTCTTTTTCAAGCCTTGAAGGAAGCTTGAATTGTTCTCTCCTTCAGAGGCTGAGGGAGGCGAAAATTATTCACCATCTGGATCTTCTGGTCTTCCTCACTGGTGAAGAGAAGGGTTCGGAATTTCCCCAGCTGTAGATCCATGTAAAACAAATTTACTTTTAAAAAGGCAAATAGTTTACTGCTTTTGAAAAAAGAGCAAAAAGAAAACATTCGGTACTTTGGAAGTGACAGGGAAGGGGTTATGTGACCACTGAATTTGTTCAGTCAGATATCAGAGACTTAATCATACTGTGAAGTACATCTGGGTTGGTTAAAATAGAGGACAAAGTTTCTATAGATAATTAGACACCTAAATATGAAAGTACAAGCCAACTAGGATTTTCACGTTCCTAGGTTTCAGCAAGTATTATGTAGCTGGATTTTCAAAAGTACCTAAACACTAAATATCCATTCCTAAGTTCTTAAGTCATTTTACAATTCCTCATTCTAAAAATATTATTTGACATATAGTGAAGAAATTCTAGGCATCTGCCTGCATTTAATTAGGAGATGGTTGCACGGATGTAAAAGAAGACAGCATTTGGCCCATTTTATCTCTATGGAGGCAAAAGCAAAATATTGGCTGTTACTTGTTGTATTAGCCAGCTATCCACCCTACTCTAGCAGTCACAAACTCTGTCACTCAGGACATCAGGGAAAGACGTCACAAATTATCTGTCATTTCTTAAATCAGGCCAAACACTAAAAAAAAAAAAATCATGATTTACAGATCCATTTTTGAACCCTGCAAAAATAAAGTCCAACCTGGGGACAAGCTAAATGTACTTGTACCTGTTTCTCAGAAATCCTGATAGGCTCTTTCATCACTATCCATGTTACACTCTCATTTAGAGGAGGTGTTGTCAGAGAACCAGGGTAGGTCCAATAATCTAGGCTGAAGGGCAGGAGGCATTTTGGATTGAAGCTTCTGAACTGAGCTTTTGTCCCCTGGAAAGAAGTGATAAGTTATATTTCACTTTTTAAAATATGCATTGAGAAACAGAAGTGCCAGCTAACAGCTTAAAAATTACAAAAATACTGGGATAACAGATGGTCTGTGTCTAATAACAAAAGCATTGTAAGAACAGCACTCATCTAGTATCATGAGCTCCTTATCATGCAGCAGTCCCAACACCGGCTGCTGGTTCCTGAGTGTGTTAGAGGGTATGCCTCTATTGCCTAGTACATCAAAAGGTCTCCTGACAATTCATGCCCCTTGTGCAGGGCATCCCATGAGAAAATAAGGCAGAAAATCTTTGCTCTGAATGGTGCCTGGCACGAGTTTCATAAAACAGCATGTGCCTTCTAACTAGCACATGCTTTTGTGGAATTGAAGGAACTTGTCATTTTGGGGGTCTTACAACATCGGCATCAGTGAAGAGCATCAAAAAAGGTAAAGTGTCTGTAAAACTGCAGATTTCAGAGCCTAGGAGGAGTTAGGACAAGTGCAGCTCATGTCCCATGGCAGTCCTTCCAGTTTTCAGCTGTATCACCACAAGGGCCTGAAGAAGAAACTCTTCCTTTCCAAAGTCTGGAAATCAGATGCTGGGAATAGTTGTGACCGCGTCATCAGGACTGCATCTAATTAAAGATGTGCACTTATCCACAACATTGTAATTAACCCTCTTTCATGCACACAGGCAGGAAAATAAGCATACTTGTAAGAGATACGTAATGGAATTACAATGAGATTTAGTGCATTCGAAGCAGGGATTCTCTGATACGAGGAACTGTACATTCGTAGAGGCAATACAACAGGGTGAAGTAAATTTAAGTGATCATTTTTGCATGCCTTTGTATTGTGCTATTCCGATAGGGTGTAGCCACACAAGTCATGAAAGAGTTAATGGGAGTGTTGGAAGTCTAATCAGCCTCATGCTGTAGATGGCAAGCTCCAAAGGAGAGTCCACCTGAACTGATATCTGACTGAGAAGAAAAATAACCTTTAGCTTTAACTTTAGGACAGCAGATTGGTTTGGGGCTCAGGGCCTGAGGAAGACTCCTCATGGAGAGGGTAGGCTTGGCAGAAGTTGATTGTCAACAACCAATTCTGGCTTACCCAAGCCTAGATAGGGCAGAAGTGGTTGCTTTTGTTGAGCCTGGAAAGGATGAAAAACCTGATAAGGACTCATAACGTGGGCAGAAAAAAGAAAAAAAAAGTTTCTTTTTGGTTTCTTTCAACTTCAGGGGACTCCAGAAGGATCAGAACTATCCCATGACCTAGCCGAAGAGGCTGGGCATACCAGGTGAAAGACCAGCAGGAGCAGCACAGTGAGCACATGACTACAGCGATGCTCTAACACTATGTGAGTTTGGGTGAGGATAGTAGGCATGTTGTTGCTTTAGTTATTTGTTTAATTTAAGCTCCTGTACAAGCCTCATGGGTAAAGGAGATTAAAAAAGGAAGAGAACGTACACACATAAAACTTACTTTAAATTTTACCATGTAAAAAGCATCAGTGAGTCTGTTCATATGACCATGTTCTTCTCCAGTCTAAAAGTGTAATGGATAAAGTTAGGTAAGAATATGGATATCATTATGCTTGAATATGCAACAGCCCATTTTCTTCCCTGAGTCTCAACTGGGATGTTTCTCCCAAGGTAGGTTTAACTGCAATTTGCATGGAGTTATTGCTTCCTATAAAGTCATCTGCTTTCCCTAAACACCTCTTTTCAAACAGGTGTCTTGGTTCTTAAACATTTGACAGCGTGATGCTTCTCTATACATAAACACACTATTTTGGGGCTCTTACCTCCAAGAAAACACCGACAACTGCCAAGCCATCTGGAGCTGCTGCTGCTTCTCCAAATGTTGCATATTTTCTGGCGTTCCAATGAACTAAGTGGAGCTGCAGAAAGCAATATATTAGAAAGAAATAAACAGTTAATGAAAGGGGCTCTTACCAAGGTTATATCATATTTAGTAAGCAGTAACATCAGCCAATTCTAAGGATAACAGCAATGTTCAGAGGGAACATTTCCCAGAAGTTATGAACAGAACCAACTCAATTATTAAATGAGCCTGTTCCAAAATAGCAGTCCTTTGATTGCCAAGCAACAAATATGCACTCCCTGTGTCAGCTAGAAAACTGCTCCTTTTTCTATAAGCTAATTCCAGCACTATGGCCCTGCCTCTTGAATTACCTGTTATTGATTATTTTTATCTAGTTGCTACAGTGAGCATCCCAAGTTAGAGAGACAGATGGCACCTCTTGAAGTCCCACAGCCATCTTATAAAGAACTAGAAAAGACCTCCCAGGACACTGAATCAGCCCCCTGCTTCACAAGCAGTCACATCATAAACTTATACCCAACTCCATCTTAAAATCAGTTTGGGCGAGGTTTTTCCCCCTAGTGTAAGACTGGTTCAAAACCTTCTCAGACAAACAAAGCCCCTATTGTTTGCCTCCGGTTGTATTTATAGAGAACAAGCATCTCCCTTGCTCAGCCTTCCTTTTACTTGGCTAACCAAACCAAGCTAAGCTTTTTTGCATTGGGTCTGTATGGCACCCAGAGCAGGCTCAGGAGCACACCTGAGAAATAAGCCCAACCCATTCATGCCCGCACTTGTGAGAACCTAAACCGACACAATAGCCAATGCAGACAGGCCTGAGTGGTACCGAGTAGCTCTGAACACAATTCCTGGCACCAGGCTCTGGCTTTCCAGGAACACAGAACTGGGCTCCTTGCTACCGGCAAACAAAGCAACTGTGATGTAAATGAAGGCAGTTGATGTTACTGTGATGTAAATGAAGGCAGGAATTTACCAGGAGTCAACTACTCTGCGGTAGCTGTCTGTGCACACATTCTTATCCCACGGTAAATGAAAGCTCACCTTCTTTTATTGAGGGGTAAGACACTATAAGTTGACTTGTCATGAATGGGCTTTTAACTGCTTTTAAAAATTCTACCCCTTGTACTTAAAGTATATGTCAAAGCCTCTAATCTGGCTTCAGTAAATCATCTAGAAGTGCTATCACATCATAATATGGATGCCTAATTCACTAATTACATGACATCTGAATGTCAACCAATATCCATGTACAGCAGTGGTCACCAACCAGTGGGTCTCGATTCATTGATAGATCTCGAAGTTTCTTGCGATAGATCTCGGAGGCTCTAGGAATCGATCTGAGGCTGGGGTGGGGGGCTGAGTGTCTGTGTGCATGCACACGTGCACCCCCCTCAGCAGGTCAGTCCATGGGAAAAGGAAGAGGCAGGGGCTAGATCGAGGCCCCTGCGGTGAGAGAGAGTGCCACAGAGGCAGAAGCAGTGGTAAGTTGAGTGGGACTCCGTCTGGGTGGGACTTACCTGCTGGGGAGGTGCGCCCCCAAATAATTTTTTCTCCTTTTGCCTCAATTTCCCCCTCCCCCCCAACTTTCCCTCGCCACAGACTTACCTGCTGGGATGGGCGGGGGGGAGAAAGGGGGAGGTAGTGGCAGCACATGGTAGATCTTGGGTTGCTTTTAAATGCCAAAGGTGATCTACTTAAAAAGGTTGGAGACCACTGATGTACAGGCCTAGAAGAAATTCAGTCTTCATCAGTAGCAG